GGCATGGTGGTGCATGCCTGTAACCCCAGCATAGGCAGGCTGATCTCTATGAGTTTGAGGTCAGCCTAGTCTACAAAGTGAGTCCAAGACAGCCAAAGCTACCCAGAGAAACCCTGTCTCAACAGAAAGAAAGTTCAGTTTTAGAATGTGTGAGAAACTTACCTAGACACTTCTCTAGAGAAGGTAAAGTATGCAAGTAAAAACTCGGCACAAGAAAAAAATTGTGACATAGTTCTTGGCTAGACAAGGACTAAAAAATTAAGAAAAAAAAAAAAACTCTATGATAACATACCACTAGGTCAAGTGAACTAAATTGTGTACCTCAGAATCCATGTATTGAAGCCCTAACCCTTCATGTGATTGTCTTTGGTGATAGGGCCTTTCAGGTAGAATTCTGTTCTAAAATGCATTTGTTTTTATAAGGTTTATAAGAAGATATAGCTACACCAAGCATATTTCTTTTTGCCTAAACAGAAGACAGGACATAGCATGAACGTGGTCTCATTGCAAGTCAGGAGAAGTTTCACTTGAAACCAGCTTTTTTTTGGGGGGGTGGGGGGTGGGAAGGTGCTGAGAATCAAGCCCCTAGGGCCCTATGCATGCGAGGCCATTGCTGTACTACTGAGTTCTCTTCCTACCATTGGTTCTGAGACAAGGACTCATTCCGGAACCTGCTATGTAGAGCATGCTGGCTTCAAACATGTGACCTGTTTGCCTTCTGCTCCTGCGCGCTGGGACTAGAGTCATGTACCACCCACCACATTGTGTCCTAGTTTGACCGACTTGGCAGAGAAGCATTTACTTAGTCTTACAATTCCCAGGTCACAGCCTATCACTCAGTGACATTAGGACAGCATTTCAAGGCAGGAACTGAAACAGAGACCATAAAGAATTATAGTTTACTGGCTTGCTTTCATATACCACAGGGCCTGGTCCCCTCCTACATCAGTCATTAATGAAGAAAATGCTCCCACAAACCTTGACCATACACCCTGATAGAGGCAATTCCTCAGTTGAGATTCCCTCTTCCCAGGCTGCTCTAGTTTGGGTCAAGTTGTCAGAAAGGAACCAGAACACCTTTTCTACTTGCCATCTTGTTCTCGGCATCTAGTGTCTAGAATTTAAGGGAACATATTTCTTTTGTTGAAGCCAGTCCAGTCTGTTCTGTCTTGTTATAGCCCAAGGTGATTACAGAAATTACAAAAAATTTCTGAAAATGTTTGTGAGGATGCAGATAAATTGGAATCTTCTTGCATAGCTAGTAGAAATATAAAATGCTGAAGCCACTGTGGAAGAGTTTGGCACTTTCTCAAGATATTAAGATGTAGAACTACTGTATGGCCCAGCTATACTGCACCTAGAAGTCTACCCAGAGGTACTGTGTGCATTTATATGCATGCCTATGTGTATTTGGGTGCACACACACACACACACACGTTTGTGTGTGCATGCTGGTATTCATAACTGTGTTCCATTCATGTCAAGGTCAGGGCAACCTTACCTATTCCTTAGGCACTGTCTACCTTTTTTTTTTTTTTTTTTTTTTTTTTGAGACAAGGCCTCTGACTAGCCTTGAACCTCCCTAGAACACCAGGTTGGTTCCCTTGTAAGCCCAGAGATATGCCTTTGTCCGTCTCTCCCACCAGTGGGATACAAGCATATGCCAGGGCTTGAATTTTTTTTTTATATGGTTTATAGGGATTGAGTTAGACTCTCGTGCTTCTAAGCTACTGCCTTGCCAGAAAGATTTCTGTCCAGTCCTATCTGGAGGTCCTAAAAACATTTTTTATCATATTTGTGTAAAGTATGTAAAAGAGTCAAACTCAGAGATGAAAGTAAAATGGATAACTCTGGGGGGAGGAGGAGGAGTAAAAGTTCCTGGCTAATAGGTACACTGTTAGACAGGCTAATAGAATCTGGGGTGCAGATAACAATGCCAATGAATTATATGTTTACACATAGTATGGTCATTTATGTTATACATATTTTAACATAAGAACCCAAAAAGGTCATTACTTTATTAGAAAAGTCTTTAGTTATCAGTGGGAAAAATCTTTAGGTATTAGACTCAGACAAATATACAATGTTGATAAAATCTCACTTTTGCTTGAAAACTCAAGTTTTATCATTGAAAATACTCAGTAATTTTTCTTGATGTTAAAGACCCAGTCAAAGTAACATCTCACAAATAATGATGCCTGGAGAATGTGATCATTGGTCACTTTAATTAAGACAGTGCTATGGCAGGTAAGCTGCCTCAGCAAATAGAGGCACTTGCCACTAACAGTGATGATCTGAGTCTCATCTCCAGGACCCACATAGTGAAAAGAAAGAACTGACTCCTGCAAGTTATCCTCTAACCTCTACCTGTGGACTACAACATGCCCATGGAAGCACACACATGCATACACATAACACACGCACAAATGAATATTTTCTAAAAACATTGCTCCATGGGAAAGCTGCTGTTTTACCTCACAGCTTAATCACAGCTTAATGAGTGATTTGGCACAAGATATCTGTTCTTTAATAGACTATGAAAACATTGTGTTTTTTAGGTTGTGGTAAAAAACAACAGAAAGTTGCTGTCTTAATTATTCATGTGCGTGTAGGTATGTGCCCTGCATGCAAGTGTAAAGGACAGAGGCCAATATTGATTTTCCTCCTCTGTCACTTCCCACCTTGCCTGTTTTTGAGGTGATCTTTCACTGAACCTGGAGGTCTTTATTTTGGCCATATGGTCTAGTCAGCAAGCACCCAGATGTGCCTGACTTCACAAAACCCAAAGTGTGGGGGATATAGATGTATACGCATTACTGCCTGAGCCATCTCTCCAGCCCCATCCTGTTTTTCAGCATGCAGTTGATAAAGGTTTTCATAACATGTCCACTATGCAAATCTGAAGCTCCCATGCTTTTGTCACACAGAAAAGATGAGCGTGCTAAGGCTATGATTTCTTTTTGTTGTTGTTATGCTCAAAAATGTCTTTTAATTCTTTTTTATTTTTAAAAATTTATTATTTTTATATTAATTACAGTTTATTTACTTTGTATCCCAGCTGTAGCCCCCTCCCTAAATCCCTCCCAATCCCACCTTCCCTCCCTCATCTCCTTCCTGCCCCTCTCTAAGTCCACTGATGGGGGAGAGGTCCTCTTCCCCTTCCATCTGATCCTAGCTTATCAGGTCTCTTCAGGGCTGGCTACAATGTCCTCTTCTGTGGCCTAGCAAGGCTGCTCCTCCTTGGAGGAGGGGAGGTCAAAGAGCCAGCCATTGAGTTCATGTCTGAGACAGTCCCTGTTCCCCTAACTAGGGAACCCATTTAAATACTGAGCTTCGATGGGCTGTATCTGGGCAGGGGTTCTAGGTTATATCCATTCATGGTCCTTGGTTGAAGAAACAGTCTCAGAAAAGACCCCTGTGCCCAGATATATTTGGTCCTTGTGGAGCTCCTGTCCTCTCCAGGTCATACTAACTCCCTCTTCTTTCATATGATTCCCTGCACTCTGCCCAAGGTTTGGTTCTGAGTTGTAGCATCTGTTTTGATACACTGCTAGGTATAGTCTTTTAGGGGCCCTCTGTGGTAGGCTCCTGTCCTGTTACTTGTTTTCTCTTATTTCCAATGTCCATCCCATTTGTCTTTCTAAGTGAGGATTGATCATTTTACTCAGGGTCCTCCTTCTTGCTAACTAGGTGTACAAATTTAGGTCTAATATCCACTTAAGTGAGTGTATACCATGTGTGTCTTTCTCCTTCTGGGATACCTCATTCAGGATGATCTTTTCTAGGCCCCATCATTTGCCTGCAAATTTCATGATTTTCTTGTTTTTAATTGCTGAGTAGTATTCCATAAAGTTAGTTTTTCTGCTTCACCAAAGACATCCAAAAGTGAAGCTACATCTTTTTTTCTCATTGCAAGTAGGGAAGTTTTTTACATCACAGCAGGGAAGAAGACAGTCATTAATAAAGTTTGACCACAGCCTCAGCTTATGTCATCACACCACACTTCTGTCCTGCTAGGGTGGACTGCAGCATTCAACAGTGTCTTAGTGCTGCCTGGAAACCGTTTGGGTTTGCTGGCTCTGAGAAGGTTCTCCTGAACCCTCTGGGGCCTGCACTTTGAAAACTGCTGATGTGGATCTCTGTCTTGGGAAGATATTGGTGGCAAGATAGAGGAAGAAGAATAGTGAGTGAATACAAGTTGAAGAAGAGAAAGGCCTAAACTTGAATAACAGGTTCATATGAAAACAAGGACCCAGGCAGGGGGTACTTTAGAGAGAGACTAAGGTAGGCACATAAGGTATATCTTTAAGAAGGTGAGATTATTAGTTTCATCCTGTCATTTTATATCTCGCATTTCCATCTTTTCGTTTTAATCTAGTCAAGTTGATGTTTTCTCTAGTACTATAATGTTGACCACACAAAACAAAACCTAATCTCAATTAAATTGGTAATCAACCTGACAGAGTATCTGAGCTGTTCGGTTTTTCTTTTTTGAGCTTTAGTGAACTTGTGACACTGCTCTGAGTGATCCTGTTTTGGACCTGTATAGCGTCCCTTCTGTTCATTTGTGTCGGTAGTTAAGGATAACTGCACTGCCCGGGCGGTCAGCAGTGAGAAAGACTAACATGGATTACTTTGCGTTTGGGGGTTTCTCGTTCTTCTTTTCACGTGTGTGTATGTGCACATATGCACATAGAGGATGGAGAGTGATGTCGGGAATACTCCTCAATTGATCTCTACCTCACTCAGTGAGGCAGGGTTTTTGTTTTTGTTTTTTGTCTTTTTGGTCAAACCCAGAGTCACTGATGTGACTGATATGACTGATATTGCTAGGCAGCTTGCTCCTGGGATCTCTTGTCTCCACCTCTGAAGCTAGAAGTGCAGGCAGTTGCCGTGTCCACTCAGCACTCACATGAGCTCTGGTGATGCGAATCCAGCCCTCTTGTTTTGAGTCAACCACTGAGGCTTCATTTTGAAGGCTTTTTCCTCTCCTCAAACAGCAGTTCCAATGCTTCACCTTCAGAAGGTGCGCCACTCACGGGAGGCTGCAGCTGTGCTCCTCACTCATTCCCAAAGGTCCAGCACCCTTCTCATGAACTGCTGCAGGAAAACGGCTTCACCCAACAAGTGTACCACAAATATCGTCGAAGGTGCTTAAGTGGTAAGATGCACTTCGCCAAGCTGTGCTGATGTATAGGAGGTTCTAAAAATTGATTGTCGCTTCATATCTGGCCAAGATAGTCTGGCCTTTAGTTTTATTTTCTCGGTTTTTTTTTTTAATACATTCTTGTTACTGTTGCCAAGTATTTATAACTTAAATAGTATGTCATAGATTTAATGTTTGTCCTCTATTTAAGAGAATCTCAGTTACTGTTTCATTGCGGGGTTTTTGTTTGTTTGTTTGTTTGTTTGTTTGTTTTGTTTAGTTTTGTTTTGCTTTTAATTTTGAGTTATATAAAATGCTTGCTACCTTGGCTTTTAAAGGCATGTTTAATTTTAAGGTGTTTTGTTATGTCTTTCCAGAGAGAAAACGCTTGGGAATTGGACAGTCACAGGAAATGAACACCCTCTTTCGTTTCTGGTCTTTCTTCCTCAGAGACCACTTCAATAGAAAAATGTATGAAGAATTTAGACAACTTGCTTGGGAAGATGCAAAAGAGAATTACAGGTCAAACGGCTCCTAATGCTTTTTCTAGTATTTTTTTAAATCACAATTTCAAGTAGTCTGATTTTGAGCTATGAAAATAACAATGTAACTGGAATGAGGATTGTATTTGTTTTCTGTTGCTATATAATCGGAAATGCCTAAATTCAAAGTAAAACAAACATTTCTTAACTACTAGTGGGGTGCAGGGGTCTCTGGAACCCATTTAGCCAGGTAACTCCAACCCAAACCTCATAGGGTTTCATTCAAAGTATTACTCGGGCTGGCATTTCTTCAGGGTCTTCCTCAGGCTTTTCTCCTTAGCTGCTGACCAGGGTGTCATTTCCTGACCACAGCTGCTTCTCCATACAGTGTTTTTCAATGTAGCTACTCACAAAGCAGTGATCTAAGAAAGAAGAGCAGCTTCCAAGGCAGAAGCCTCAATATCTTGAATAACCTTTCCTTAGAATTGACAGCGTCTCATCTATCATATGGAATTATTCATACAAAGCAGCCCAGCTACAGTGAAAGAGAACTACACGAGATTGCGGAAAAGAGAAGGTGTGATCAGTAGAAATCCAGTCTGGCACAGAGCAGAATGTAATCACAGGAATGTTCTCTCCTGGCTAGAGAAATGTCTCAGTGGTTAAGAACACTTGCTGCTCTTACAGAGTACCTAGGTTCCGTTCCAGCAACCATATCAAGGGGTTACAAATGGAACTCCAGTCCTAGGGGATCAGATGCTGTCTGGCCTCCAAGAGTGCAACACTTGGCATATATACAGCCAAGCAGACACACAGACACACAGACCTAAATAAAAATTTAAAAATGTTTTAAAGATGTTCTGTCTTAATGCTCCCATCATCTACACGTCCTTGGACATGCATGTACAACCCCAGATTAATGCGTATTGAGAGTCAATGCAGATTTAAGGTCTCTTGAAATGGGGGAAAGCAAGATTTCTCATGCTATGTGTTCCATCTCACTATGCCCCTCTGTCATGAGTGGCTCTGCTCGCTGTTACTGATGGTTGAGCCCGTCTGTTGATCCAGTCGGTACTTGTCACAGGTACTCTAGGTGGTTAGAAGAAACAGGGAAAATGCTTTTCTGATTTGTAAAGCAAATTTATAGCTTATAGCTCTCTTGTCAATAGATCTGCTGTGAATATATTTTATAACTATCAGGAGCTATCTAAATGAGCTTATGCCATTATAGTTGAAGAGTTCGAAAATGTGGACTTTCCGAGATGGAAGAGTATATTCAAGAAATAAGCATACCATTTAAACTTCGCTTTAAGAAAAATCTAAAACATTTCCAATGTCACTTAGTCTTTTCACTAGTTCTTAAGAAATAATGTTGTCCTGCACAGATTAGCAAGTCAGTTAAAAATTTGTATACCATTCCAGCATTTATGAAGCTGAGGCCGAAGGCTGGCAAGTTCAGGGTAAGCTAAAACTGCATAGTGAGTTCGAGGGTAGCCTTGAATATAGCGTGAGAAAGCCAAAGAAATATCTACTGAACTCATCTCTTGTTAAGGTTTGTACCATGTTTGCTTGTACAAAACTTCACTAGGAGGTGCTTGCTTTATTTGAGTAAAGCCACAATTTTACCCCTTTTCCTTCCTTTCCATAGGTATGGGTTAGAATGTCTGTTCAGGTTTTATAGTTATGGACTGGAAAAAAAATTCAGACAAGAAATTTTTAAGGATTTTCAAGAAGAAACCAAAAAAGACTACGAATCTGGTAAAAACAAACACTCTCTTTCAAAGTTGTAGACTTGAATCGGTCAATAAGTTGTCAGATATGGCAACCTCCTGTAACCCGTCCAGATCCCTAGGTCTGAGCCCCTTTCCATTTCTTAGTAGCCATGTGATTTAGGCTAGTTCCTCTACCTTGCCAGCTCCAGTGTTCCCATCTATAATGTAAACAGGAGGGCATGTCTTACCAGGCTGGTTACATATGGTTCAGGTTAGTTTGATATGTGATCAAAACTTAGGTAGTACCTGTTACATAACAAATGATCAGCAAATAATAGCTGCCACCATTTCTAATTCACTATGTGTCTTATTGGACAGTAAGTGGTTTACTGCTGGTAGAATCATATGCATGACAGGGTTTTTAGTTACATATAACATATATACTTTTGTTATTAAGGCCAGCTATATGGACTGGAAAAATTTTGGGCCTATCTGAAATATTCTCAATCTAAGACCCAGTCTGTCGACCCAAAACTTCAGGAATACCTCTGTAGCTTTAAGAAGTTAGAAGACTTCCGTGTTGATGTAAGTTTTCATTTCTTTCCTCTATTGTTTGTACCTGTATAATACTAAAATATAACAGATTTTCATAACATTAATCTTAAATTTTTTGGTTTTTAATTTTGAGATTTTAACTTTTCTCTTTTGACAACAAACTTTGAAAACAGGCACAAAAATAGATTTTAAAACTTACCATATACTTTCTTCATTTACGTTTCCCAAAACTAAGAGATGGGGAGATGGTCCAGTTGGTAAAGTACTTGCCAAACCTGCATCAGATCTACCCAGCATCCATGTGAAAGCTGAGCATGGTGGTGTGTGTATCCGTAACCCTGGTGCTGGGCACAGAATGTGGGAGCAGAGGCAGGAGCATTCTTGAGGCGCAGTGGCCAGCCAGCCAACTGAAAGCCATAAGTTGCAGGGTTAGCGAGAGACCCTGTCTCCAAAGAGAGCGTGGAGAGTGACAGAGCAAGACAGCGGCATCAACTTCTGGCCTCCACCTGCACTGGCACACAGCCACATGCACACTCATGAACACAGGCACACACAGACACATGGAGAGACACACATACTCACGCACACACACACACTCACACACACAGACTCACACAGACACAGACACTCATGTAATTTCCCCAATGGGAACATCTTACCTGGTGCGGTTGTCAATGCATTTGATTCTGATGCCCAACTGTACTTAGATGCTTTCTGAAACCATGAGATGCACTAGTAGTGGGAAACCATTTCACTCAGTTTTGTCTGGTTTAGCTTTGGGTTGTTTTCTTTGCTGAGGACTGAGCAAGAATATACCACTAAGCTGTATCTTCACCCAACCTTTTTGCCTTTTCTTTTCAAAGATTATTTTATTTGTGCATGTGTGTATGCATGTATAAAGACAACCCACAAAATCCAGAACAGGGATTTTTTTTTTATCCCCGGGAGCTGGAGTTACAGGAGGGTGGGAGCCACCTGATGTGGGTGCTGGGACTCTCAACTCTGGTGATAGTCTTAACTGCTGAGTCATCTCTCTAGCTCCAACCTCCTCTTTTTTTCTTTGTTTTGTTTTGTTTTTGTTTTCGAGACAGGGTTTCTCTGTGTAGCCCTGGCTGTCCTGGAATTCTTTCTGGATTAAGGGCTAGATTGAGGGTGTTAGATCTATAACTGCATAACTGAAACAAATCCTAAAGCACAGACATTTTAAATACAGAGTCCTTCCCCTTCCTGCCTACAGTCTGAATGGGTCTGAAGGTGTTTTAAATGTAATATCCTCAATAATACTGTCTGGTCTGGTTCCTCTAGCATAGGAATCCTGTGTGAAATGTCAAACTGGCCTGAGGCTGTTTGGCCTGGCACCTTTCTCTCCTTCTGGTTCCATTCAGCTGTTATTTAAACTTTACACACTGGAGAGGCCTGGAATAGGAGCTTAGTGGTAAGGAAGGGCTAAGATTGCAATGCATCCAAGCTAAAGGAAGGTCAATGGAAATATTTTCTTGGAGGGAAGGAACCACCTCTGTACTCATGCCCTGATCATAGCCCGGCCACAAACATAGGAAAAGCTTCTCAAGTTTATGTTGACTGAACAAACTAGTCCTACTCTGCCAAGGAAATGTAAATGTAGTCCTCTGAGTTGCTGTAAGAATTCATTATACTGCTAAAGTCTACAAAGCACCAGTATGAATCCCCCAGTTGGAAAGTCTGGCCTTCGACTCTGAGGGAAAAGGTGAAAATGTCTACTCTGCTGTCTTTCATGCTTTGCAGCCCCCTATTAGTGAGGAATTTGGAAGAAAAAGACATTCATCTACTTCTGGGGAGGAGTGTCATCGCCGTAGACTTCCATGTCACTCCTCCACAACACCATCAAGTGCTGCTAAGCCTGCATCTGCCAGCGAACTGCAGGTCCCAACTAATATGCCCAGGAGAAATCTACAGGAGCCCAGTGACAACTCACACCGTAATAGTGCTGTCTTGGCCTCTAGGGGTGAAGTACCAGGGAAGTAGATGTTTACACAAAAGTTGTGTGTTCTTGAAATCAACGTTGGTGTCTATGTATATAGGAAGATCTTCTGATGTTTAATTGTGATAATCAGAAAAACAATAGGGAAGAAAAATTGTAGTGTTTTTTTTTTTTTCTAGCAAGATAAAGTCCACATGTTTTCTCTGATTCCACAAACAAGGGTCTGGTTGACCTTAACAGATCCTGTAGTAATGCACTTTGACATCAGGTTTTCTTGAAGGCTACAACAAAACACACACACACACACACACACACACACACACACAAATACCTGACATTTCAGCTCATCCTTCTTACAGAAGATACAGCATGTTGTATTCATCTCTTCTATAGAACTTTTAAGGAGTCAAATCATCCCACTGTCAATCCATATCTGAACACATCATAAGCAAGGGAGGATTATGCATATAGTTTTTAAATTCAGAAATGGATATGAATGATATCTTTTGTATATACAGTTTGAGGGAAATTTTCTTTTTTCCTCTCTTTCTGTCAACAAAACAGGAATGGATAGCAGACTGTAGTTGTAGTGAGGCCTGTAACTTTGGATGCTCCTTTCCCCCAGTCAGACCTGATTTTGCAGCTGCTGTGCTGATGTGGAACTTTCTGAACCTCTTGCTGGCTCTGTTGTCATTTCACTCAAATTACTGAGTGATAAGTTGTATTTTCTATTGATTATATTATTTGTAGATTGCTTGATTATGTCCTTTCTCCCCCCCTTAGGGGAATGATTATCTTCTTTGATTTGATTTGACATTTTACTTACCAAGAATATTAAACCCCTGCTGTCTGATTCTACATTTATGTACATTTTTTGATAAAACTTAAAAGTGTGTACCCTTAATTCTAAATGTAAAACTCCAGCAAATAAAAGCATTGGTGTTTGATAAAAAGAAAATATTTTTAACTGACTGTAGATCTAAGTGGTCAAATCCACAGTTTAAGTCCCACACCTGTTATCCCAGCCACTTGTATAGCTAAAGATGACCTTGACTCCTGATATTTTTCCTCTACTTGTCAAGTATTGGGATCATCTCTGTAGACCACCACACCATGCTTTTATTTTAATTTTCCTGAACTTATTTTGACAGCTAAAACTTCAGCCTGGCATTTTCTTAGCATCTTTCTATCATGCTGTGGTGTTACCACCTTTCTTTATGTGCTCAGTCTTTTCCTCAAACCAATTCCTTATGTCCTACAAAACTTATTTTTTCTATTCTTGGTGGGAGACAGATCTAATAGAATAATACTCAATCATGTAACCACTAGATGGCAGAACAGAATAAGTCAGAGCTGGAGACTTATGACTTGGGAGAGAGAGTTTGGTGTGTGTGTGTGTGTGTTGAACTCTTACTCCATCTTGTGGTGATACAGAATTATATCAAAGACCTGATTTCCTAATATTCACACACATTACCCTGTTATTAGTAAATTAGTCTGAGATATTGTATTATTGATAGAACAAACATTAAATTTTTGCTTTGGTATTTTTTTTCCTGTCATTTAAAGTTAGTAATTGACTCTCTTGGAATGGAAACAAAGGAAGATTATCAGATACATCAATTTACATGTCTGGCCAACATAAACTATGTAGTTAAATCATTGGTAAAGAGGTCCTGCCTGGGACATGAGGAATTTAAAAGTAGAGAATTCTCTTATAAGGAACAAATTATCACACAGCTGGGCAGATGACCAAGCTAGGGTTGCAATCCTGAAGCCCAGGCCATTGGCCATAACCTGTTGGCCATAACATGACGGTGCCCTTCAACAGTGGAGACCTAACAACAGTGCTGTGTCGCAGCTGGAATCACAACTGGGTGCTTATGGGTAAGGCTTTTGTCGGATTAGTGGCTTCTGATGCAGACATGTGTAGTACTTAGATAATTCTTCAGGGACATAATGGTTAGAAAAGACTAGAGTCCTCATTTTCCCAGAAAATACAAACCAAAAATGATCATTTGTATTCCAGACAACTCAGAAGTAATGTTTTTCTGGCTTTTAGGTATGTAGAAGTTATGTTCCAAGGTTTATTAAGAAGCATCTTGGGCTGCAGAAATGACTGATTGAGAGTGGTAGCTACCCTTACAGCTGAACAGAGTGTGAGTCCCAGAACCCACACTTCATGACTGCCTGAGACTCCAGCTCCAGGGTTTCCAACACCTTCGGGCTTCTGTGGTTACAGGTGCACAGTAATAAGAATAAAATACTTTTAAAAAGAATCATCTGTAGCTTTTTACTGTTTGCCAGTTTGACATTTTTTTTTTTTTTGAGACAGGGTTTCTCTGTGTAGCCTTGGCTCTCCTGGACTCGCTTTGCAGACTGGCCTTGAACTCACGAATATGTGCTTGCCTCTGCCTCCGTGAGTGCTGGGATTACAGGTGTGTGCCATCTTGCCCAGCAAGGTGCCACAATTTGAGGCAGGTCCTCTCTCTTTCTAGGCAACTACTTCATGTCTAGCTATATCTCCAGCCCTGCTTCAAATTATTCTGGATTTTTGTTTGTTTGTTTGTTTGTTTGTTTCTTGGACAATGAAGAAAGACTTGGCTACTAAAATGCTTTCTAACACACATATTACTGTGGCAATTTCTAAGCCAGAATGTGCCATTGCATTTTTATTTTTCCAGGTGATTCTTAGTCTATAAACAGCATGTCTTTCAGGATAGGAGTTTTGTTTGTTTGAGACAGGGCCTCACTACATTGTATAAGCTGGACTTGAATTCAACCAACTTCCTTCTCAACATAGACAGACAGAGAGACAGACAGACACACACACACACACACACACACACACACACACACCAGGATTGCAGGTGTACAGCACCACACCGACAGTATTTAAGAGATGTTTGATCCTTGTTATAATGTATATATTAGTCCCATAATGTTTATGTCCAGATTGCTTTGGAATAGCATGTCCCTAAGTAAAACCTAAGGTATGGCCCTTTTGGAGGTTTTTGAGGAGAACAGACTCCTGAGGTTTTAAGGTAGGAAGTGAACAGCTGCTCATTTGTGCAGCTCAGGCTCCTCGTGGTAAGTTACTGCCCTTTGGTTACCAAGTCCTGCTCATTTCAAGCTGTTGTCAGAACCCAAGCAGAGCTCTGGACACAGCACCTGAGATGGGGAGATGCCTGAGACCAGACACTCAGTAGGCAAGACTTGCTGGCTCTAGGAGATTAGCAATGTTCAAGAGTTCTGTGAAGTCAGTGTACTTAAAGCTCCACCTCTTTGTTCTTGCCCTCAGATGAGTGAGGACTGTTTGGCCTTGTGTGTGGCAGGTTCACTTGCCTGTCAGAAGCAGGGCTGAACAGCTGGCCACCGTGAGTTCTATGAAGTAGGTGCTGGGTTACAGATCTGAAACATGGCCACTCTCTGTGCCTCGGAGCTAGTCTGCCTCATTATGACCCTTCAGGAGCAGGACACGAGACTGCCTTGCCATGGCCTCTCCCATCCAGTTGAGGTCCCTTCTGTATGACCACACATTTCCAGGTTAGACTTAAGCCCTGCTTTTCAGAAATCATATTTATGTTCACTTTTGATAATTTGCCCCAAGAATTCTTCGATAATTTTTACAACTTTTATAACAACTTTAACAACAGCTTATTCCTAGCACAGAAATTTGTCTTTTATCCTCTGTAGATCAGTTTTATTACAGGTCAGCGTGTACCTGCCTTTTCCTGTACTTAAGTTGAAGACAATTTGAACAGACACCCTGACTGAGCAGGAACCACCCAGTCATGACCAACCCCAGCCTGCTTTATTCTACTGTACTTTTTAATAAGTGTTGCACATGTCAGTATTCAAAATTACAGAATGGACTTTAAGGAGGCCACAGTGAAGTTTCATAGGCTCTATTAGTTGTTGACTAGTAGTAAAAATTGTCTTTTTTGAGTTAGGGTCTCATACAACCCTGATTGACCTTGAACTTGCTACCTCTGACCCTGAACTTTTGATCCTCCTGCCTCTACTTCCTGAGTGCTGGCCTTATAGTCATGCCTCACCACACCTAGTTTAATAACCATGACTTTCTCTAGTCTTCTTAAAGTGTATAGATTGCATTAAGTGCAACCATGCTGTGTTGTGTGGCAGTGGCAAGCATCTTCACTTTCAATATCAGTTTTTCAGAAACGATGGTTTTTTTAATATAATTTTTTTTATTTATTACAATTTATTCACTTTGTATCCTAGCTGTAGCCCCACCCTCGCCCCTTCCCAATCCCACCTGCCCTCCATCCCTCTTCTTCTCCCATGCCCCTTCCCCAGTCCACTGATAGTGGAGAACCTCCTCCCCTTCCATCTGACCCTAGTCTATCAGGTCTCATCAGGACTGTCTTTCATAGTCTTCCTCTGTGGCCTGGTCAGGCTGCTCCCCCTTCAGGGGGAGGTGATCAAAGAGCCAGCCACTGAGTTCACTTCAGAGACAGCCCCTACTCCCCTTATGAGGGAGTCCATTTGGAGAATGAGCTGCCACAGGCTACCTCTGTGCAGGGGATCCAGGTTATATCCAGGAATGGTCCTTGGTTGGAATATCAGTCTCAGAAAAAAACCGTAGGCCCAGATATTTTGATTCTGTTGTTCTCCTTGTGGAGCTCCAGACTCTTCCAGGTCTTTCTATCTCCCCCTTTTTTCATAAGATTCCCTGTACTCTGCCCAAAGTTTGGCTAGGAGTCTCAGCATCTGCTTTAATACCCTGCTGGGTAGAGTCTTTCAGAGGCCCTCTGTGGCAGGCTCCTGTCTTGTTCCTTATTTTCACCTTCTTCTGATATCTATCCTATTTGCCTTTCTAAATAAAGATTGAGCATCTTAGCCAGAGTCCTTCTCCTTGCTTAGCTTCTTTAGGTGTACAGATTTTAGCATGATTATCCTATATTATATGTCTAATAACCACTTATGAGTGAGTATATACCATGTGCGTCTTTCTGCTTCTGGGATAACTCACTCAGGATGATCTTTTCTAGAT